GCTCATGATGTCAATCACTGTATAGTCTGGTCCAGACTCAATTATTTACAGTCTGCCATGATATAGCTGGAACTTTTCTGAGTTCAATGGTACAACAAACAATCAAATAGTACCTTTTTGATTATATGTTCATTCACAGTTGCATTTACTTGAAGTATGATTGATACATTTTCTTGTCTACCAGTGGCGTGTCTCTATGGGTAGCAGATTTCATAGTTTGGTTATTATTACATATTTTAATCATGTGCAAGAAGTTTAAAAAACGAGATAGCTCTATATTCCTTGAGGCTTTCTGACATTCTGTTTACGGCCCTGTTAACCCTTGTCAAAGGTCAAGGCCTCATGCAAGATTATTTGCTTGTTTGAATAAGGACATTGGGAGTCGTAGCCTGGTAGTAAGGCATTGTCTCATCACACTGAAGGCCTGGGTTAGGTACGAAGTGTGAAGCCCTTTTCTGGTCTCCTCTGCTGTGATATTGCTGGATATTAGATTGAATTTTACATTTTGTTACATTTAAGAAGAAACAGGTGACTGCTGCTTCAATAATTTTGATAAAAAGCTCAATGTAGAAATTGAAGTATTTTGCTTTTGATTTCCTTAGGCCCAGGCCAGATGCCATCGTATTGGACAACAGAAGTCAGTCAAGGTATACAGATTGATCACACGCAACTCATATGAGAGAGAGATGTTTGATCGTGCATCTCTCAAACTTGGTTTGGACAAGGCTGTGCTTCAGTCCATGGCTGGAGACAAAGGTGCCAACCCTGTAAGTTCATAGTTTAGTCATTAAACATTAAATTTGTGATAGTTAGTTGTCATTGACAGCTTATCAATTTTTCTTGTAATTATGATATTGTTATCGTAGAAAAGAGCCCAAGACAACTCTTATTTCTCTTGTTGAACCCTTTGGAGAACAGGTTCCCATCAACCCATGCTTGTCATAAACTCTAGTTGAGCCCAGGCATGTGGTTTGGCTGATTGTGTGTCATCCTACCTCAGCAGTTTGTTACTCATGCTATAAGCCTTTGGTTTGCCTGCTCGTGTCTTTTACAGGCTGGCTTGATATTGATTGGATATTGCTGACTGGCTTACAACAACATTCATTCCCACCTCACATACTCAATCGCTGCTCTCTGTAATGTAGTCTGCAAACTGATGCTATTTTGGGGCAGAATATGTTCTCATGAGAGTCACCTTTATTTCTGCTGAGTATGAATTGTTCACCACCAAGATGCTTTGTGTTATTGCTTACTCTCATCCTAACACTCACTCCTGTTGTGCAGCAATCCCAGATGTCAAAGAAGGAGATCGAAGAGCTGTTGAAGAAGGGTGCTTATGGAGCTCTGATGGAGGACGACAAGGCTGGGGATGAGTTCTGTGAGGAGGACATTGACCAGATCCTGCAGAGAAGAACACAGATCATTCAGATAGAATCTGAGGGCAAGGGATCCACCTTTGCTAAGGTATGTCCACACTTGTATTGCAATGGGAGGCGGTCGGGTAGCTATTGGTTAAAGCGTTCACTCGTCACGCCGTAGAGCCGGGTTCGATTCCTGACATGGGTACAATGTGTGAAGCCCATTTCTGGTGTCCCCCGCCGTGATATTGCTGGAATATTGCTAAAAGCGGCTTAAAGCCATACTCACTCACTCATTGTATTGATATGGCGACACATGTACTTCATCACTATGGGGTGTCGGGTTAGAATTACCTATGCTTGTCTTAGTGATTATGAAGGATCAGGTGGACAGGCTTGGTGACTGGGTTGTGTTTCCATCAACTCCAAGAGCATTAGATGTTGCTCATAATCTGAACCTGCCTTTTTCGGCCCATAGTGAATTATTTACAGGATGACATGATTTTCCTGGAATATTGCTGATATTATATACAACAACTAATGCAACAGAATGTGTATAAAGATGGTAACACTGTCCATACATAGTAGTCATAATTTAGACATCTTCACTGGAATATCTAATCCACTAAGTGTTTGCTCATGTTTTAGTGAACCCCTGTTCTTGTGTCGCTAGGTCAGTTGCAGCACTGCCTTTTTTGTTATTCCCGGCAGCTTGAATTGCAAATACAGCTGATAAAATTTAACACTTGGCTTATATGACTGATGCTATTGTGTTGCAGGCCAGTTTCAGCATGACCTCAAACAGAAGTGATATTGATATCAATGATCCCAACTTCTGGCAGAAGTGGGCAAAGAAGGCTGACATTGATGTTGATGAACTCAAGTCCAGAGTAAGTATCTTTTACACTACTTGCATTTCTTTGTATGCAAAATTTGTAAGACAATATGTGCATTTAAGGGACTGAACTGAAATGCTGTGTATACCTGTCAAGTCTTGGTACACTAAATCAAAATTAACATGTCAAATGCCCTTTCTACATTGTCTTGCCTTCCCTCAATCAACATGAATTAAACCATGTCATCTTCTCTCCAGAATACTCTGATTATCCAAGAGCCCCGTCAGAGGAAACAGACAGCCCGCTATGGTAATGAGGATGCCATGATGGAAATCAGTGACCTTGAATCTTCATCAGACAGTGGTGGAGAGGAAGAGGTCTCTGGTCTTCGAAGTGGAAGAAAGGGCAAGCGAGGTCGCCGTCGGAACCGTAATGATGACGACTTTGATCCTCTTGACGATCAAGCTGGTGATGGCTTCCATCGATCCGAGTGCTTCAAGGTTGAGAAGAACCTCCTTGTTTATGGGTAAGATTGGATTTATTTTGAAGTAACCGACATACTGATATGGGAGCAATGTACACAGTGTATTTGTTTTCATAATAACCTTACATTAATGTCTATAATATATGTTAGGCTGTAGGGTAAGGAATGCAATGAATTCTATATGATTGTATATGAAGAACTTCTAATTTATACTTGTTCACAATTACAGCTGGGGCAGATGGTCAGAAATACTTGCTCATGCCAGATTCAAGAGAAGACTTGAAGAAAAGGATGTTGAAGTTATTGCAAAGGCTATTGTAAGTACTAGTAATACATATCAGTCAATAGATATGCACATTTAAACCTGATGAAGGAAAAAGGACAGTCTTCATTCTTTTACCTTATTGATAAAGATTTGATTGGAGATTGATGAGACTTTGGACATAAGAAGAGTATTATATGTACCATCCTTTTTTTTACAGTTGGTGCATTCCCTCCAGTTTTACAAGGGAGATGAGAGAATCAAAACCTTCATCTGGGATCTTGTTTCTCAGAATGATGAAGATCAGCTCAAAAATCACTCAGGTTTGTCAAGTTTGTTGCCATTTTTCATGATATGGAAGCTAAATTATGATACAAGTAATGACTTCAATATGTTTGCTATTTGTATGCACACTTTGGTTGAATAAATGACTTTGATCACCTGAATTTTTTATGTAAAGGTTTATCCGCCCCTGTTCCAAGAGGCCGGAAGGGCAAGAAGCAGAAACAGACTTCTAAAGGACCCGAATTTGAAACGTCCACTCTCGACTTTGACCCTGATGCCATCCTGGATCATGGGTACAAGAGACATCTGTTCCGACACTCAAACAAGTGAGTAGTGGTCAACTGAAGATTTTTTAATAATATAATTTAGATCCTTGTCGATCAGCTGAAGACTTTTATATACAAGATTTAAATCGTTGTCGATCAAGTGAAGATTTTAGAATGCTAGATTTTGATTGTTGTCGATTGCTGAAGATTTTAGAATACTAGATTTTGATTGTTGATCAAACTGAACTCAACATTTATGATATTGTGCACCATTACAGCTGTTGAAAATTATTTCAGTCACTAGATCATATGATTATATTTTGGAAAGCCTTCAAACTTTTTGTAATTTCTGCTGGTTCTTAAGCATTATGAAGTTTAATAGGACACATGACTGGAGCCAGTAGGTTGATTGAATGCAAGTAAGTGAATAGTAAGGATGGTGTATGCCTGGTGTTATCAAGTTGGTGTTACTCCTCCAGGGTGCTTCTGCGGGTGCGCCTACTGTACTACCTCAAACAAGAAGTAATCGGGGATGAAGTAGAGCGAGTCTTCCAAGGTGTGCCTGCCAGGTAAGCTGCAATCCAGGATCCATTCCTGTATAAATGGAGATTTGTATATGGTCTCTACTACCTGCATAATAAGGAAATTGTGAACATTCATTACAGGTATAAAAACCCTTTATTTGATTCCCCACACGCATACAGTATGCTAAACCCATATCTGGTGGCTCTTACTGTGATGGTGTGTGAAAAAAGTGTCCTAAAACTCAACTTAGACAGGGAGAAAATCAAATTTTATTTAAATGTATTTTTTATTGAGTTAGGCAAGTTACTGTCTAATTTCATTAGGGTTGTCAATGTTGTGTATATGTTTTCAGTGAAATCGATATCCCTGCCCCATGTGCTGACGGTGAACTGCCTGCTTTGTGGTGGGATGAAGAATCGGACAGATCACTCCTTATTGGTGTTTTCAAGCATGGTGAGCATCTCGTTTGTTTTGAGAATCACATCTAAAGATGTAATGATGACCTTGCCAATCTTCATACAACATTGATGAATAGGAACATGAAATTATGATATAAATAAATGAACACTGGGTGATCTTCACTTGCAGGTTATGAGAAATTCAACTTGATGAGATCTGACCCTGCTCTCCTGTTCCTTCATCGTTGTGGTCCACCTGACAGTGAGGCGCTGGCCAGAGAACAGAATGATGATTATGATGGAGAAAAGTGAGTTCAATCTTGTCCTGTAGCTAGGGGTGATGCTGGGCGAGTTTGAGTGATCACTGATGATGGTCTGATTGGAAGTGTTCCACTTATTTTGCTAGGATATGTATGTCACTCAGACATGTGTACCAGTTTTGTTTCATTGATAGTCAGTTGAATTTATCGATAGTCTACTGTGGCATTGATGTCAACTATTAGACCATGAGCAATTAAGCATAAACTATTGCACAGTAGCCTAGTTTGCTTTTGAAAGAATAATGATTTTAGCTTTCAATTCCGCATTCTGATGATGACTTGCCATGCTAATACAGATACCTGGACACCCAGATGTGCTGGGAAGAAAGGATAAACCATGAGTTGAAGTTTCGCATAACTGAAGAGTGCATTGTTGTGAATAATGATAACTGGATATTTATAATGCCCAGTAGTGACCAGTCCATCTGTTGAAGCATGCTCGAAGCGCTAACACAGAGATAGAAATTTACCAAGAATGGATACTTGCCCCAATAGTGATAACATATAACAATGTCCCGCCCCCATCCTCCAAAATAAAAAATGTTTGAAATTCTACTCGCCCTAAAGATACCTTCAACATAAGGAACCTGGATTGTGCTAATTTCTGTCCCTGCCTAACACCATTATTACCCCAGTCATAGGATCAGTGTGCACTCAATATAGTGGATCGGGGTTGTCTTTTCCCCTGTTTACAGTGTAGTAAGAGTTTGGGTTTTTACAGGGACGAAGAGAATGATCTCGAGGACAAGTCCATGAATCTCAAGGATGAAGAAGATGATGAAGACCTGTCTCAGTGCTCAGCACCCGAACCTGTGAAGAAAACAACCAAGCCCATCATGCCTACAGATGGTAAGTACTTTACTGGTGCTTGGCAAGCTGTTTCATATTTTAGCTTTGTGTATGTAGTTCAGTACAATTTGACATGTTCTGGATTTTAGAAGTTATAGAAAACTTGAAGGACCCAAGAACCCTTGGTTTAGTTCACAATTCTTTATGGATTTTACAGATGGTGACAAATTACCGTTCCCAAACCCATCTGAGTTGAACACACGACTGAGACGTGTAATCACTGGATATCAGCGGAACCACAAGAAAGAACAACTCCGACTCCAGCAGAGGGCCAAGGTTTGTTTTAAATAAATATGTATGTTAACATAAATGGAGAGGGTACAGGTAACCAGTCGCAATTGACTGTGCAGAGTTGTGTCCCTTGGACATGCCAGAAACCTGTGCTTGTCAGTTTGAATCCTGGTTCGACCCAAATATTTTTTGGGATTTGTCAGCATGATTTTGTGGTTTCACCAAAGTGGTAGTCGCACATCACTTCGGGCTTTCCTCCCATGACCCATGAAGAGCCTACTTAGAAAAGGTCTTCAGCACCCTATGCTTGTCGTAAGAGACGACTAACTGGATCAGGTGGTCAGGCTCACTGACATGGTTGGTGCATGTCATCGTATACCAATTGCATGGATCAATGCTCATGATGTCAATCACTATATTGTCAGGCCCAGACTTGATTGTTTACAGACTGTCGTCATACAGCTGGAATATTGCTGAGTGTGGCGTTAAACAACAAACAAACATGAAGCCAACAAGCCATGATATAAGTATATATATATATTTGCTGCATTAAACCCAACTCACTGAAATGAGGGACATATGACTATCACTGTAGTCGCAAGTTGTTGTTACCTACTTATGCTCTTCTTTTTCTTCAGAAAATGGAGAGACGATCTAAAGCTGAGGAAGTTACCAAAATCAGGGAAACCAAAAAGAAAGAGTACTTACAAAAGTGAGTGTTTCTTGTTTTTGTTTTTAGTATTTGTTAGAAGATTAACTGCAAACACCTCCTGTGTTACCTGTTTTGAATGACCAGGTAATGGTAATGTAAATATTTATCTTTCAGTCGGTGGTCACGGCGTGAAGAAGCAGACTTTTACAGAACTGTGTCAACATTTGGAGTGGAATACCACAAACCTACCGGAAGGTACAGGTGGGACCGTTTCCGATGCTTTGCCAGACTAGACAAGAAGTATGACGACACATTGGCAGAATACTTCCATGCTTTCTACCACATGTGTCAGCGTGTTTGTGGCAAGTTCAAGACCCCCGAGGAAGGTAAGACAGGTAAATGAAATCCGGCCACGTCCATCATGTCTACTACTGAAAAGATAAAGGTTGTTTGAAAAAGAAGCAGCAATTATGCTACCCAAATTTTCATAGGGGTTTTCTGCTTGAATATACAATTGACATGAGAATCAGTTTTGTTTCCATGGAAAAAAAAAAGATATGCCTATGAAGAGTGGAGATGTGGATGTCATGAATCATCTGATTTATGGGTTTTTACAAACATGCATTCAAATATATTCGAGTGCTTGATATACTATAACGATATCATTTCCTCTTCAGCCAAGCCTCCAAATACTGTGTATGTTGATCCCATCACGGAAGAACGTGCCAGTCGCTGTCTCGCCCGTATTGATCTCCTCAACAAAATCCGGGAAGAGATCCTAGTCAACCCCAAGTTAGATGAACATATCAAACTATGTCAGCCGTCTTTCGACATGCCATCATGGTGGCAGTGTGGCAAACATGACAAGGAACTGCTTATCGGGGCAGCAAGGTAGGATACATTGCAACATTTATTGGGGTTAAGGGGTTCCATTTCCAGTGTTGAATCTATTTGTGGTGTGCTCTTCCAAGATATCCCTGGAATGTTGCTATAAGGGGGATGTAACCTCACTAAGTCACTAGAACATTTGACCTTAGTGTGATACAAAAGGTGTTTCCTTGGATCATAGCAGTCTAGGAATGTTGAAATCTTATTTGCAACGTTGACTCTGATTGTCTGTGGAGGTCATAATGGAATGATGTTATAAACTATAAGTTATAAGTTATAAGTTATAAACTAGTAACTTGAATAGAAATGGTTTGTTTTTCACCAGACATGGCGTAGCTCGCACAGACTATCACATCCTACGTGACCCCACACTCTCCTTCCATGAGATGCTCCAGGCAAAGAACCTGCGCCACCAACACAACCCCTACCAGATGATGTCCCCATTTAGTGGAATGCCTGTACCAGGGATGCCAGGTGAGTGCTTATATTGCTTGCTTCTGAAGTAAGAGAATAAAAGCATTCTAATTATGTCATTTGCCCCTCTAATACAGAGAAACCTTGTACTTTGACACATTTGTACACATTAACTTATCCTTCTAATATTTTATAAGAGATAAGTTTACTTAAACCAGAGCCCATTTTTCTTATTTGTGAATTTTGTGTAGGGTACATTTAATACATAGGATACATTTGATGTCATTCGTTACCAATAATTATGGGATAGGTTTCCTTGTGTCATGAAATGGTGAGACATAGTCCCTACCTCATATATTTTTTGTATCCAGAAACTCCTACAAAAGAAGAGAAACCTGAGATGGATGATGACAAGAAGCCAGTGAAGTCTGAGAATGGTGAAGTGCAAGATGAAGCCTCTAAAGATGCTAAGAGTGAAAAGGAAGAGTGTAGTGAGGAAGAAAAAAGTGCTGATATGAAGGATAAGTTAGAGGAGGATGCAGAGGATATTGAAAAGGTTGTGAAAGATGAGAATGGAGAAGTTTCAAGTGATGAAGACACTGAGAAAGTGAAAATTAATGGTGATGATCAGTTGAGTGGTGAAAGTGATGTGGAGGAAAAGACAGTGAAAAAGGAGGAAATCAAAGAGGAAATGTCTCCTGAGAAAAGTGAAGAAAATGATGAGGAGAAAGATACTTTGGAAGACAGTAAAGCATTTGTGAAATTAAAAGAGAAAGTAAAAAATGATGACGATGATGATGATGATGATGAGGGGGCGACTGACAAGGAAGTGGAAGAGATTGTGAAGGAAGAGAAAAGTGTGAAAGAGGAATCTGAGAGTGAAGTGAAAGAAGAGATGAGTCCTGTGAAGGAAGAGAAAAGTGCTGTGAAAGATGAAGATGTGAAGGAAGAAGAAAAGTCAAAGGATGAACGTGACCTTGTGAAAGAGAAAGTACAGGAAATCATCAATGATGTAAAGAAAGAGAGGAAGATGGAAGAGGAACTCATGAAGGACAACTTGCCGGTATGAACTGTCAGGCTGTGATCTCTCCTTAAATGCATCTCGTCTTTTTGAAGAAGTTATTCCTGATAATGATCGACATTATTACTTGATTTGCTATTAAAGAACATTCCATATACGAAGTGTATAGATAAGTGAATATATTGAACTGAAATTTTGTTTGTGTGTTTCAGCCATATTATGGCCATGATGAGTCTGGTTACCTTGACATGGATGGCCCTGAACCTGGAGAGATATACTCGGGTAGAAGTGTTCTCGGAACTGTTGTTGACTGGCCGAAGGTAAGGGGTTTTCGATCTTTAGAAAGTTTAGTACTGAAAGTAAGCTTAGTATTTTGTGATGAATCCAGAGTGTCCTAAAGCTTTTACTGTGAGTCTTATTGAGAACAGCACTTTATATTTAAGGATCGAGTTATTTTCCACCGGTTGGAACACATCTGCTACACTGTGGAGAATGGGGAATGGCCGTTCGCTCGTAGGTCTGCCGGAGGACCCCCTTTCTTTGGATCAGCAGGATTTGACTCGAGAAGTGCCACACCTGTGGGATCATCTACTCCGAAGGGTGATGGATCGTTCATGGACTCAGATGCTGCTGACTCTTTACTGGAAGCTCCAACGCCGCAGGTGATGAGGATAAGTGGTGACAATGATAAGGACTTTGAGGTACATGTGTCTGAGGTAGGCTCAAATAATCTGCTGCCGGGATAGCTGGCTCGCTGATGGCTGCTGCTGTCACTGCTGAGGGAGATCAAACACCCACCTGCCACTTGTTGCACGTTCACCAGTGTCTTTCCCAGGATAATCCTGAGAAAAAATCCCATATGTATTAAAATTTTGATTGAAGGAGTTGCTGGATTAGACACTGTTGCTTGTGACAGCTTGTAACTGCTGATTATTCTTTGTTTTGGGCTATGTTTTTTTCATTTCGTGAATTCATTTGGGCTGTTTTGGTTTAGCTTCCATGCATATTTTGTCCTTCCTATGGTAGAAGGTAAATTGTGGTGTTAATGGGCCTCGGTTTTATGACATTTAGTTATGGGTTAAGTTGGCAGCACTTTGGAAAACCATGTAATCAGCAGTGTTAGAAACTGGCACTAGTCCTATAGTCCTGGCCAAACTGCCGACTGGTAAAGGTATCATGAGGACTAGTATAAATTTGCTATTTTAAAGGGTTTTGCTATATGTTATTATTATAAGGACTTGTGGACTAAACCTGTTAGTTTCTAACGTTGATCAGTCATCAGGTTATCATGTAACCTTCATGCAACTTTTGT